ACCCCCCCCCCCCCCCACTCGCTTCTAATCGGACCTCATCGCATCACTTGGCCCCAGTTGTTCACCCGCCCGCAGCGGCACGAGGGAGGGCGGGGGGCGTCTGCGTCTGCGCGCATAATCTCGGCTCTCCGGAGTCTATTTGATAAAGTGCTGATGGCGCGGAGGCCGGGCGGCGGGGGCCCATTAGCATGCTTAAGAGATAGCGTATCAGAGCCAGAGATTAGACGCCGCGGACCGGGGAGCTGTCAAGGTCAAGACCGCGCTTGTGAAACAGCCGCGACCGCCGAGATGAGGCGGAGGGTCAGGGCACTCAGGGGCGGGCGGGCGGGCGGATCGTCGAAATTCAAAGAGGATGGACGAGGACACGGGACTGAGCGAGCGAGCCGGATACGGGCCGAGTTGGACGACGAGTCGAACGATGGAGAAACTCCTTCACTTTGGCTTTTGTCTCGCCCTGTACTTTCTTCCAGACCCGGAACCTAATATCGTGGTCAATGTCCAACCCGGAGCCAACCACGGGGGACCCGATGACTGGGAGGCCGTGCTGGAGGAGGTAAACGCCAAATCCGAGGCTGCGATGCGGGGGTGGGCCGGCCGGGTCAGGCGCGCGGCCCCGTTCGAAGGTCGCGGCCGATACTGAAGACGAAACCAAAAACAACCCCAAAAATCTGACGTCGAGTTCGCCCTTCTCTGCGTTAGTGGGCGGGCGCCATACTGCCGTATCCTTGAGCAATGTGTTGCAAATTGATCTTTGGAAAAAAAAATGTTCAAATGACCGTAAAAGAGTCGGATTTCTCGATCGGCTGAAAAATGTCGGTGTAAATTGAAACTGTGAGGGGTTCTCCAAGTTGCCGCGTCAAATTGATAACAATGCCCCCCCCCCCACACACACACACACACACACACACTGTATATAAAAGGTATGCATAAGTGCATCACACATCGTGCGGGTAAACTGTAGCTGCCTGTAATGCTATACATGGCCAGCAGGTGGTTTCCTGCGTACGTGAAACATGAAAAAAACGAACAAATAATGGAACCAAATGGCTGTAATGGTGCCAAGTCTCCTGTGGCTTCATCTCCCCATCAATAATTTAAGTCATACTTAAGACACATGTTTGTTATTAATCTATGTTATTAATATTACGTTTCCAACAGTTAAAAAATGAAAAACAGAATGAAAAATTAGGAAAAGCAACAAAAACAATCCTTTTACGCTTTTTTTTTTTTTATTGAACCCTTAAGCCTCACCAGGATCACGGGTCCATTTTTATTTATGT